CTCTCCTTTTGCTGGCTGGAAATGCCCACACAGAGCTACAGATCTCGTGCCCAGACTTGGCCAAAGTTCCCAAGTCGTGCACTTTTACCACCTGAATAAGCACATCTCCACAACTGCTGAGCACTGCGCTTTCCTCTCAAGGTGCCTCTCCTTCTCCTCTGAGAACGAGCAACACGTGGATTGTGAACTGGCTCACTTGCTGCAAACTCTGCCTCTCCAGAAATGCTAAACAGAATTGATTAATTTATTAGTTAAAAGAAGAAAAAAAAAAAGGAACTAATTTTATGTGTAAAACTAACGAGGGTTTTCAATGGAATTAGTGTTACAAAAGCTGAATGTTTTTGGTCCCCAAGGTCAACATTTTCAAAACTGGTAGTTATCTTTAAGAAACAGCTATCTCCCTTGAGCTRGAAACAGTTTCTCGGTGACCTTTACTTTTAATATGATATCCCTAAAGAGGTCATAGCAGGAGAAATCCTTCTTCTGTATGGCTTTGCTGGAATGAAGCCATCCAAGAGTCAGAGGATATAAAGGATCCTTTGGCCAATGCAAAAGTGCAGAGCTTTTGTGCAGATGGTCCTGGCTTCCAACCGGTCCCTCCAGATCCACTGAGCCAATCCAACAATTAGAGGAAAATATTCAGAAAGCAGAACCTCACAGACTTTCTCTCACCCATCTGCTCCTACAGACTCTGCAACAGGAGGAAATCTGGCTTGGGTAGCGGAAGAAGGGTGGAATGGATTGAACAGGGCTCAGAAAGGGCCAGAAGTTCAACCCAAAATGCAACCAAACTGTGAGAAAACTTGGAAAGGATTGTAAAAAACCCCACATATTGGAAAAATATAAAAAGTCCCAGCTGCAGAGGGCTTAAGGATCTGGAAGACAAAGAAGAAAAGCCAAGCCCATGTTTTCTCCTCCTGTAKAACTTCAGAAAGCAAAATACACTGTCTGTTCATTGAAATTAAGAGGAGTCCTTTGTGTCTTTTATGAGCACTGTACATTTTTTTGTCTCTCAAGTGGTCACACATACAGAAACACTGCTGTATGAACCAATATTTGTTTCTGCCAAAACATTTGACGTTAACGGACAATAGAAAATCTTCCAAGACCGTATATTGTTTAAATATTGAAAACATTAAAATATTTTCCAGTCATCCTATCAATAGTAAACCTCCTGTTTACACTGTCTGTATRGTAATTCCCAGGCTCTTAAACAGGCAGGTTGGCTCAAATAACTGCAGCTTTTAGGACCTGCTCCAGCRCCAGCCAAATTCAATGCAAACATTCAAGTGACATCAATCTCCTTTGAACTAAGCTTCCCAGGCAATTTGTATATATTTGAAGGAGGAATTTTTGTTTGCTTGAAAGGTTGTTAGTGCTTAATGTAGCTTGCATTGTCTTTTAAAGTAAGACAATCAAGTCACATAATGTAATTCATCTACATTATTGGCCTTCCCCAAAGACAAAGTGAAGGCTAGACACCGAGGCTGAAGAGGAATGTGAGGGCAAACACTGCCTTTAAATCAGYATCAGCAGACATCAGAGGAGGGGAGGAAAAGTGAGGAAGTGCCCACTATAAGTGTTCTATCCAGGACAATGAAGCAGACTTTGGCAAGGTAGAATTAGTGCCTGTAATCAGGACCAGGGGATGATTGTAACCCCAAAAGAACAGMTCTCCCAACTTTATTACCAGTCTCAATATTTTACATTGTTTTCTTTGGCTTGACTCATGAAGTAGAATGATTTCATGAAAATCTCATTTTTTAATAGAAATGAGATAAAACTGAACTGGGGAATTAAGCATGGGCCCTTAATGCCTAGAAAGCTAAATGGCAAGCTTTCCAGCTTTTTGTCTCTCAAATGTTAGGATCTCAAATTTTAGTTAAACCATTTTCATGATTTGCTTGGACTGCACACAATGCTGAATATATGGCAGGGTCAGTGGGCTGCTACAGCAAGAACAGTGCTCACTTTTAGGGCTGGTGCTGTGTGTTCAGTGTCTGTATGTTAGAGAATTCTTAATAAAAAAATCGCCGTTTTTCTTTGGATTGTATTCCCAGCTGACAAACAAAACCCCAAACAAATAAACAAACAAYGAAACTCCTACACTCTTCAATTTCAAGCACCTAAAATTGCCACTCCTTTCACCAAAATCAAAGAACCACTGCTTTTGAAACATAAGAACTACTTTAACCAGACTGAGACATGGTATTAGGGAAAGGGAATTTAAAACTCCACACTGAAGAGCAGTGTCTTTGCTCTGCTAGCAAAGAAAATTGCTTTTGATTTAAGAAATAATATCACTGAGCATAGCAAATAACTCTTCACATGTGCAGTGGGGTGTGTGCTGTGCCCCTTCTGTTCTGTACAGAGACAACATGCTTTAGTACAAGTACAAATAAACACTTGCAGATCCRAAGGGCCCTAATTTTGTATGAGTGGGTGGCTGTATCAGAAGTCCTAATGTAGCAAACCGTGACTTCATCAAGATTTAAGCACAAAAGGGATGCCTGAGCCCTGACATGGAAGTAAGGGTGGAATTTCAATGGCTCATGTGGCTTTTGATCAAACTTTTAGTGTCTGAATTACATGGTAAGCACACCCATCGACTTCAAGGATAAAAGTTCCACCCCTCAAACRCAAAGTTCAAAGAACTTGAAAGCTGCAATGATGGATCTTCTTTAGCACCTCACTCAATTGTGTCTGGACTTTATTCCTCACTTTGAAATAGTAGATTAATAGGCAAACTATATGCAMTATGGAATTACATATTTGATTCTTTTTTTTTGTGAAATGAACCTATACAGCTTAAGTTAAAAAACTCTAGGACTTCACAAATGTTCAAAGATAGATTCAGCTGGTAATGCAAGCTCTTGCAGCAGACACAGGAGTACTTTCTATTCCTTTCACAACATAATATACAAATTGATAATACCAGATGCACTGCATGACATAGCACTGCCTGATTTCCAAGGARAGGACGTGAACTCTCAGTTCTAACAATAAAATAGTGCTTAGTCTTTGGCAYTTTCACGTAGAGATGCAGCTTGGAGAACAATTTAGTTTCACTAATTTTACCTTGAACATAAAGATTTAATAGTCACATGTTTTGGAGAAAGAAAGGAGTAAACTTTAAGCTGCTTTTATAACACAAATATGATATAAAATACATTTTTTTCCAAGAAAGGCAGTCAGTCATCAAATTATCCCACAGATGAGTGCATTAGCAATCTAATTTGCAGCTGAAAAAGTATGTCCCTCAATAGCAATGATGTGCCASTATGATTTCTTGAGATGCCTTTCTCTTAGTCTCAAGACCATATKATTTTCAGAGAATAAATCATATCCTGGAGTGAGAGCCCATCCTGAAAATACTTGACTAAAATCCTTAGTTTCAACAGAGTTCTTGAAGACAAAACTGAATCTACAMTAAGAGTGAGAAACAGGCAACAAAAACTTCTAAGGTGCACATACTGTGATGGATATCATATTATCTTTCCCCAGTGTCCCAATTCTTTCATTTTGTAGACCTAACCAAATATGAAAACATTAAAACACAATCTTTGAGCTCAAAACCACTTCCAAAACTGCCAAGTATAAAACTGTTGCTGAACCGCTCTGTTCTGTTTATCATATTAAGATACATTATTTTGATGAAAAAAATGCTAGATTGCAAGTGTAACATAATAGAACCAGCAAGCACTGCCAGCAGGTCTGAGGARGAGAGAATAATTCAGAGATATTGTCATCTGTAGGCCAATTTATATTGTCAGACAGCAGGTTACATTATTCTCTGATGTCACTGCAATAATGGCATAATATAACGATTGAGCAAAGAATACCTGTGGGGTATAGCTATACAGTGTGGTATATATGTACTCGTTAAAGTATTTCAGGCTTCATTCAAAGCAGAACCAGAAGCAGCAAAAGACCAGGATTGAAAAAAGAATGAGAAATGGTGCTCATAAAGACTTCTGAATATTTTAGCCCTTGTTTTCTGATGATGAAGCAAGCGTAATGTTGTATTTCATTGATTCAGTGGGCTCATGATTAAAATAAACTAATGTAGCAATTTAGGGGTTTTGTGATTCTTTTTTTTTTTTTTTTTCCTGTAACAAGAAGGAAAAAAAAAGCTTTTTAACAGTTCCTCACGGCAGGCATAATGTGCATCTGTGCTCTGATTTACTGCACATGCTGCCTTCTCTAGCATCATGTTAAGTTAGGATATCAGCATGGTAGGTCACACAGTGGGAATGACCTTTTGCTAATCACTACACATCAGTTACTACTGGCACACAGCTCATTACTAAGAAACCCTCCAACTAGCTGGCTTTCAAATCCGCTCACACTTTGATTCTTTTTTCTCCTTTTCTTTCTTTCTTTTTTTCTCCTCCAGACTAAAGATTATACTTTTACATAAAATCTCTGTTGTGTAATTTTGCCAACTAGGGTTCCAAAGTCAAAAAGGCACCCAGTTAATTTTCCGTGATTATAAAAGGAGCCTGAAAATTCATACTGAAGGYAGGCCTGTAATCTTGGGTTTCATTAAAAAGGTCAGAACATTTTTCCTCACCACATATTATTAAAATGTTTGAGGGCTGCCATTAATTTGATTTTTCAGGACACAGAAATCTCACTGGAAATTAGAATGCAATCCTGCTGTTGCTTTCCTGACACTTTTCATAGGGCACGATACGGCTGCAGGGACTAAGAGCTCTCCTGCAATTTACAATTGGTTACTTTGGCCAAATGGCAGATGACTAATGCAACACAAACTGTTTGCACAACCTGGGAGCACCGGGTTTAATTTCGGTTCTGAAAGAGGGGTGAAAGTGTTTCTATTGACGCTGAACCGTGAGCTGTCCCCTGCCAATACATCTGCCACATTTAATACACAACATGCCCCCCGCCCCCGACAATGTGATTATTAGAGGTACAGAATTCAATAGCTTAAGAATACAAAACATAGCTGGAGCGAAATGAAAGGGTTTTTAACTCACCGGCCATTTGCTGAATGCCGCTGAAGGCACCCAAGTTACTGGAGGAAGTTGCTTGCTGCAGAAGCTGCAAATGAAAAAACACAACACGGCAATCTATCTGACAGTAATGAAACAAATGAAGATAAAACCAAAATGAGCTATCATTTCACATTTGGAATATTTCTGCTTTCCTTAACATTTATATAGTCTCTTGCTTCTGTCTGCTGTTGGAATGAACATCCCTAGAGTCAATGCTGTAAATCCATATTAATGTCTAATCTCTATTAAGAAACACAGAGACACAAGGGAAACTCAATAACATGGCTGCTTTAAAACAATTAATCAATTTATTCTTTTTAACAACCAGGTGTTAAATCTATTTAAACCAACATAGTGTGACTAATTACAACCCTCTGTAGTCTGGTAGTTACCATAACTCATCTCTGTCAATCACAGTCCATTCTTCCCCACTCCCGTGAATYCAGATTTTTCTTTATTATCTTTATGAATCAAGCACACAGATACTCATTAGAATGGTATTTGTATATATAGCAATTTAGTCYATCTCAGTATTAATTAGACAGCCTCAGTACTAATATATATTTTTAATTGCTGGGGTAAATTGCTGTTTATATCACTACACCAATGCATTGTATGCACACAAATGATGTATTTATACATACATAGTACGTATATATGGGCACATCCATTTCACAGAAYCACAGAATCACAGAATCACAGAATCACAGRATCACAGAGTCATAGAACARTCTGGGTTCGAAGGAACCTCAAAGATCATCCACTTCTACCCCCCTGTCATGGGCAGGGACACCTTCCACTAGACCAGGCTGCTCAAAGCCCTATCCAACCYGGCCTTGACCACTTCCTGGGATGRGGCAGCCTCAACATCTCTGGAYAACCTGTGCCARTGTCTCATTGCCAGGAAACAATTTCTTCCAAGTTTCTCATCTAAACCTGCCCTCTCTCAGTTTAAATTAATTACACCTTGTAAAATGCCTTTGTAAAAAGTCCCTCTCTAGCTTTCTTGGAGGCCCCCTTCAGGCATGGAGAGCTCCAAGGTCTCCCCAGAGGCTTCTCTTCTCCAGGCTGACCAGCCYCAACTCTTTCAGCTCTCTCTCCACAGCAGAGGTGCTTCACCCCCACCATGATCTTTGTGGTCTCCTCTGATTTGCTCTAACAGGTCCATGTCTGTCCTGTTCTGGGGGCTCCAGGCAGGGTCTCAGCARAGCAGAACAGAGGGGCAGAACCCCCTCCCCAGACCTGCTGCCCACAGTGCTGGGGATGCAGCTCAGGACATGTTTGGCTTTCTGGGCTGGAAGTGCACATTGATGGGTCCTATCAAGCTTTTTATACACCAGTGCTCCCAAGTTTTGCTCAGGGCTGCTCTTGGTCCATTCTCTTGTGCTTGGGATTGCCCTGATCCAGAGTCAGGACTTTGCACTTGGTCTTGTCCTTCGTGAGGTTCCATTTGTCTAACTCGGAACCATCAGGAGCCCCCAAGTTATCCAAAAACCCCTCAACCAGACCTCTCAACTCCAGAGCCACAAAAGACAGACTCTCCCTCTCTGCTGTAATGCAGGGGGGGTCTCTCTTGACCACCCAGGATGTAAGATACATGGCTGTGGATTTCAGATTTTCCAGCAGGGACAGCAGCTACCACCTGTTTTTCATCTTACAAAGGGACCAAGGAAAAGACCAWTTTAAATTTGTGAGAAACAAATGGCTTTTCCAGGCCACCTTCACTTTCTGTAGGATGGAGTATGAACCATGCATGTTTAGCATCAACAGGATCATGCATTAAAGCAAAAGCCATTGCCAAATGAAAATCTCAAAGTTAGATGACTGAACCACAACATTCTAGTTTAGAGGCTACACCACATGGATATAGCCCCTACAGTGTTCTGTCCTCCCCTCAGRAAGAACTTAACTTTTATTCCAGCTATAAAAACCAGATTCTAACAYTCAAAACTCCCAATAAAACTAATGGAATCAAATTTTATTAATGGTGGAGGGGGTGRAACTAGATGATCTTTAAAGTCCTTTCCAACCCAAGCATTTCTATGAATCTGTGATCTGTTTTGCAGCMCGAGGATACTTTAAATGTTTGCTTTTGACAGCACTTACACATCTTCAAAAGCTTATTCAGATTATATTCCTTGTTATTTATTTTTAGACCATGTGATAAACCCACCCAGAAGAAGTCACGCAGTGTATCCTGGACAATTTAGCAATTTATTGCAGGGAGTTCACTGCAAATGATTTACCACAGTCCTAAAATAAATACAGTATAATACAGCCACTGCCTCTGAAGAGAACTTACAGCTAGATATTGTGGTGTGAGTCCTCCAAGACCTGTGAGGTTTCCCCAAGTGGCAGTATTGAGCTGTTGCATCTGCTGAGCCAACTGCTGCTGCAAACGCCGCTGCTCCTTGTCCTTTTGTGTGTCAGCAAACTTCACCACGATTGGCGAAGAGCAGCCCTGTGGTTGGACAGATYGGGAGAGACAGAAGGGTTAAATCACACCGGGTCACCCTCTCCTCATGAGCTCAGCCATGTCTCTCTAGGGCTACTGGCACAATCGCTCACCCTCTCTTTGTGACTGGACCACAAGGATTAAGATTTTCATGTTCTTAGGAAAAGAGGCTATGGAGAAATTATTGATTGCCCAGCTCTTTTCATAAAGCACCTTTCCTCAGGCTCTCTTTTCCTTCCAGCTATCAAAATTGCTGCCAGAGACAGCTAAGTGTACCAGTCCTCTTTAATTAAGCTTCACAGCTGATGAGATGGACGCGATGCTTTGTCTGCAGTCTGTTTTCGAGGCATCGCCAAAGGGAGAGGTGTCCAACCTCCCTGGTGCTGCCAGGACCCCACGGCCAGAAGGGCCCTGCCACCACAGTCTGGCTGTGCCACCACGCTCGGTGTGGCTGGCGAGCGCTCCCTGAGCAGGCTGGGAGCAGCAGACTGACCTCAGTGAGGCACTGGCCCTGCTCACACCAGGGACCCCCCAGCCAATTCACCCACCTGCGTCCGCTTTGTGTCAAGCACCCTGTTTGAGCTGTGAAYAAAGGGCAGGATGCAGACCAAGAGGGACTAGTTCTGGTGACAGCAGCCCATTCCTGATTGCCACCACTTCTTCTAKCGCTTCTATCAGCCTCTGGTTATGTGGTATGGCAAGGCTGTAAGGTGCCTTAGGAAATAGGGAAGCTGTAAGAAAGAGCTAGAAGYCTGGTCTGCAGCCTACTCCTCACCCATGGCTGAGGGACCCCTGGGAAGAAGTTGGAGATCACAGACCCAATGGATTTTTTAAGATAAACTGGAATTTCTCTTGGACTTCAAATTGGGCATTCCTGGGCAAAGCCACTGAGAGAATGAGACGTGATTATGAAAGATGTCTCTGTTGATTTCTCTCTCTGTTTCTTTTCCATACTAAAAGATGTTTCATATTTTAACCTTTCAAGTCTTCTTCTTTTTTTTTTTTTTTTTTTTTTTTTTTTCAAATCAAGCAAGCAAACTATATACTGCAATGATTCAATTCTTCAAATTAATTCAAGCATTTTATGAGTCATCGGAACTGTCAATCCATTTCATACTGCTTTTCAACTTCACAGGATCCAATGAATAACTTCCCTTCACCTGCCATGCTTTGTTATACTAATTTCTTGTCTAACTTCAATCTGAACATAATGGCAGGAGTGGTAAGTGACTCAAGACCAAAAAACACAGCAGTGCTTTAGCCAAAGTGTATAGCGTGGGATACAGAGCAGGGTTTGACTTCACCTACTCTTCCCATGGCTGCTCTCACAACACTGTGAACATCTTCAGAAAAGTCCCTGTCCTCAATTATTTACAAAAAGCAGCCATGYACCTTTTCTCTGAAAAATCTCACACCAGGACAAGCGATAAAAATATTCACAATCATCAGATGAAATGATGAAATAAACTGCAACAATAATAATAATATCTCTTATATAAAGATCTCCCATCAACACGGTTCCCTTAGAATTATCTTAGAAAATCATGACTTGTTTATTATTCCACCTCCAATTCTTTTCCTGTGTGTTTCATTGTAAAAATGTCTTTCAGTGTTTCAGTGAGGAAGAAAGGAGATATGTAACACTCCAGCAATCAAATAAAGATTATGAAGGAGTCGGCTTGTTACACAATTACCTCTCTCTAGTGATTTTTATACTAATATTAAAAATAAGATCATTTAGAAAAAAGGAAGAAAGGAAAAGGAGCCAGGGGGTAGAGGATGTGAGAGAGATTTTTCTGGTTTTGTTTATAAGAAAAAAAAAAAGCAAGCTGTTTCCATCTAACATGAGGTTTGGTGGCACTGGGTAAGTTCACCTGGAAYTTACTGCCTTCTGCCTGCATGTACAGGAGAATCAAGTCTATTTCCAAAGAAACAGAAATGAGTATCAAAGGAAGAAATATTATATGGTTATTTCAGTTTTCAGTTCAGCAGTTCAGCATTCAACACTACAGCTGACATATTTATGAATGCTTAAATGTCAGTAAATTGTATAAAAACAATATCTCTGCAATTTATGAATCTATAATTCATTTTTTCACTGTCTGCTCTATATTTCATCACTTCATCATTTTCAAGAAAGCAAACATTCTGAAGACTGAGATTATATCTAGCAAGTGGCTCTATATGAGAAAAGGGTTGTTATTGTTGTATCAAATTTACTCCATGATAACAAATTAGTGTCTTCTACTGGTGCTGCATTTGAATGACTTAAACAAACAAAAACTCCACTGAAATGAAGTAAAAGAGCACTCTACAGCAGCAATTATATTTTAAAAATCAGTTGATTTAACCAGGTCAGTAAGTCAGGTGGAAAGAGCAGTAAGAGAACGCATTATTCTATGAGACGTGTTCATCTGGACTTAACATCCCCATTGTTCTTTCTTAGCCCGCTTTGAAAATTCATCTTGGTCAATGATGCGTGCTAAAGAACTGAAAATAATAAAATAGGAAAAAAAAATCTGTAGTAATTGGGTTGAAATGCAATTGTGTACTACATATCTTCCCCGAAGCCCACTTTTGTTTGCAAAAGAAGATGAAAGCAAAGTGTCCAAGGATGACTGTTTCAGGCTGAGAGTTGACATGTAACACTAGTCAATCCAATTTAACTTTTCACTAGAAAAGTATTGGCAAAAGTGAGCAAATTTTGTTGGTTTTTTTTGCCTACAGGGTGATTTCTATCTTGTGCACTTCCATTTTCTAGCTTGAGGGGAAGCTCCCAGCACACACAYGAAGTGCATCTCCCTTCCTCCTTCAATGGCTTCACATTTCCATGCCATTCAGTGCCACTTTCTTCCCAACAGTTGGTGCTGCCTTCATATTTTCCTGTGAGCTGTCAGGTTGAGTCCMTCCTCCACGGAGCCGGGAGGGAGCACGGCTTCTTTCCAAGAAGGGACTCAGCCTAAGCTCAACTGACGCAAAGACCCAGATGTTCWAAGTGCAAAATATTTGGAATCGCTTTGCCAATTTGGGGATCTCACTGATGATGTCTCTAAAGGTGTTGAGAAGGATTTCAATCCAGGATTATTCCACAGAACTAATCTCATTGAGAGCATCCCATTAAAATGCAGCCCCTTTTTGGAGTGCATACAACAGAGGAGTGGGAGAACTTGTCTGGGAGGTGTTATGTCTTTATTTTACCATCTTCAGAAGTAGAGCWGTGTAAAATTCATTTTGCTAGACAGAAAAATACATTAAAACACATGGAAAATATAGGTAAAACAGGTTGTTACCAATAAACATTTCCTTTTTACTTGGAATCAAACCCAGCAAAATGTATAGATCTGAAATAATGGAGCAGTGCACGGCAGACAAATTACTACAGGTATTATTCCAGAGACTCAAAGTGGCAGTTTTTTCACAATATACTGGTCAGACTGCATGGACTGTTTTAACAGCAGCTTTCTAGTAACGATCATTTCAATTATTCTCATCTCATTGGCAGATTCTCAACTAATACTGTATACCCAGGGTCTAAAAATGCATTGCACTGAAAAGAAAACACATTGATTATAAAAGAAGCTCAACCAAATTCAAACGTGATGCTTGGAAAGACAATAGCTTTGCAATGCTGAGATCATTACTTGTACTATACAGGAAACAGTTAGTGACATTTTCATGCACTGGCTTGAATTTTATCTTCTCCTCCTTGTCCTCTGTCCACCCTCCCACCCCTGGTCTCCCCCCTTGGCTCGTTACACAAAGCAGCTCAACGACATGACGCAATAATGATTGTTTAGCACCCAGCATGCTTTGGGAGACTAGAGCATTGCAAAGGAAAATCACTGAGAGAAAAAAAAATAAAAATGAAAGGTCCTGGTGGAAAAAGAAATGAAGAAAAAAAAAAAAAGAAACAAGTGCACATAACATCAATGCCACCTCTGAGAAAAATCATCACTACACGAAGATACAGTATACATAATACAGTATAACATGCACTCTCCAATGATAAGCTAGAAGATCCAGAGTAAGTAAAGATTTCATACTTGTGCGGTTTTTTGTGCAAAATTCTGAAAGACCATGACAAAAATCACAGACTGAAAAAAGTTTTGAGATTGCCAGACAAGCYGTGGCATTCGGTAACCACTCCAATGACCAGATCGTTCGCCAGCAGCTAAAGTCACATTGAGTGAACCAGCTAAAAGTTTTGAATTGCTCATCACGATAAAATACGAGGCCATAGAGGCAGTTTGGAAGGGAATAAAGAGTGTTGCTTGTGAGGGGCCAGCCATGATGGTGCTCTGCAGGAAGTGCCACACTCCAATATGCTCTGTCATCATTAGCATTTTTATTGGCTACATGAAGAAGGCGAAATAATATTAACTTAAAAAGAGATTTTATTTTCAGAAAAACACATGCACTAGTAACTCAGTGTGGCCATGTTAAGCCTCTTGAGCTTTTTCWCAGAGCAGTGCAAACCACACCACTTAGAAATCTATTTAAAAGAAACTAAGATTTTTCTTTGGGGGGTACGTRTGCTAAAAATAGAGGTAATTTACTCATCAGAGATACTCTGAGTACAACTGAGGAGTGGTATTCCCAGCATTTTTATTTTCTGCTGAATGCCACTGAAAACAGGATTGGGAGCCGTGTTTGGATACCACACAGCAGCCTTATTGTGCTCTTTCAGGTGATTGAGAAAAATAAAGCTTCACAAAGACAGGTAGAGTGAGCTTGTAAAAAATTTAAATCTGTGATTGTCATGTGTCTGATCTGATCCAGGAGAGCATGGCTTTACCATTCGCAATCATTTGCACAAAGAAAACAAAGAAAGGGCAAATGATACAGTACTGTACCTCCATGGTCTGAGACTGGTGCATGGCTTTGATTGCATTCTGTGCCATTGCCCTTGTAGAAAATGTGACAAACGCACAGCCTGTGGGAACAAGGGGACAGGGAGCAGGAAAGACAAAAAACAACAAGACAAAAGGGTTGGACGCTTGTTAAACCAACACAGTCTACGAGAACGGCCACAAGACGACACTGTTCTCAGTAGTACATAAAAATAAACAACTTCTCTAGTTTATTTATTGACAGTGCTGACTTGCTAATCTGACCATAGATGAAAGAAAAAAAATTAGGTGGGGATGGGTGACAAGAGGGGTTTTTAATTTAATTTTTTTGTTTGTTTTGCTTTGTTTTTATTTTTTATTTGTTTGTTTGTTTCGTTACTGTTTTGTTGGTTTTTTTTCCTTTAGCCACAGGGTTTGAAATAAATAAAGCTTTTCTGTAGCCTTTGGATTGCATAGTTAAGTCTATTCAGACCTTGCATTAAAAATTGCTTGCTCTGGCTTTTGTGTAGGTAAACTGTGGATAGTGAATAAATGTCGGCATCACCGACAGCTGAACTTTATTAAACGAGAATTTAATAAAGGGATCCATAACATCACAAATTACYGTGATGCACCAAGAATGATCATACAAATAAGAATGAGAAAAACTCCACTGTGCAGCCTGTGACTACCTGTGAAGAGACTCAGATGAAATTCAGTAATGTAGGTGGAATCTCAACATTTAAGAAAGTAACATATTAAAGATAAAAATCCTTATGGTTTTTGTTTCTCCGAGTCCTAGGTACAAGTATAATTCTTTGCTCTTTGGTGAMAGCTACCATCAGCTTGAACAATTCTGAAGCTATGTGCATGAATTACTGAAAAAATCACTTTTTTTTTCCTCTTCAGCCTTTAAAATCATAATGAAAAGYCAGCAGGCTAATGCCTGGGCTATTTTTCCACCCTTTTACTATTGTCAGCCATACCTACACTGGGCATGGAGCAGGTCAACGTTTTTAGTGCATGACTCACTGCCCTTTTGGCTAATAAAAACATTGCCTCCTGAGATTTACATTTTATTCTTCATGCACCCTTGGGCATCTTAAAGAAAAAGACTGTGAAATTAATGCAGATTCAGGCTGATTTTGTAATAATACCATGGCACACTAAAAGCTTAGCTAAAGCAACACAGACTTATTTCACTTGTGATCTCTAATGACTTTAAAAGTGCATTGATTTTCAGCTCCCTTAGCCTTGCACAGTTTGAACTTAGGTTTCAGAGAATAATTTAGTGTTCCACTCAATTTCCTCAAAACATTATTATTATTACTACTTAAAAGATTTCCAAATGAAGCAGATCTAAGCACTGAGARGCTAAAGCATATTGTCATTTTAGAGCTAATGCATGAAAGCTACATTCTGGCATCAAAAATACAATATTGTTGCCCCTGTGGCCAATGGGCAAAATAAACTACTTTGCAATCCAGCAAGCAACAGATTGTTTGGTTTATGCAAATCAATTTAGGCATAGAATACCTTTGCTTTTTAGSTCTGTGTGTACCTGGTAAGATTATCAAGTCAAGACTGTATTCACATTTTAATCAAACAACAGTAAGAGAAAGCAATGCCTGATCATTACCCAAAAGCACTACATCTAGTCATGAAAATAAAGTCAATGCATTTTTGCATCATGCGGTATTTTGTTTTTTTCTCTTTAATGTAAAGGCCCCTGATTCAAGAAAACCTAAGCTGGCTTATGTATMTCTGGCTGACAGATGAGCATCACAAAATCAGAAATCAGAATTGTTTTACCCACACTTCACCACAGCGTTGTGACTCTCTGTATTTCTTAGGTAACAAAACAGCTGATGATGTCTCACTACTGTTTAGCCACACGAYGTGTTGCTATACTAGCCTTGTTCAGCAACAAATTTCTGTCAAAGAATATGAAATAACAAACCAGCTTTCTGTACAGCAATCTAGACAAAATGGGCAGTAGAAGGGYAAATATTCTACAGTACTGCTAGACTCCATACTGCTGCTGTGCACTAAAATTAAAGAGGCCCAAATTTACCATCAGTCTCAAAGTMATCTTAATACCATTTCTGTTATTAACATTAACAGAGGAAATAACACCAAGGGTTTTCTTTTCTTGCCTTGCAAATTCAGTGGGGGATGAGCACAAATAGAGATATACTGGAGGGCACRCAAGGAACCCCATACAGAGCCTTGAATAATATTGTTGATAATGGTCAAGAAACTGCTTCATTCACTTCTTTGGCTCTCACTATCCAGGAGTGTGTACTGTAGTGACAATTACTGAATGGAGGTTTCAAATGCATGAGAAGCATGTAAAATGTCAACAAAAATCAATAAAACACAGTTTATGCATTTATCACAATTTCTCCCCAGCAGTTCTGCTGTAAGTAACTTAGTGAGAGATGTTGCAATTAGCAGGTCTCAAAAGAAAAGTGAATCAGCAGAGAAATAAGGCTGCATTCCTCTCAAGATAAAGCAGACTCCCCCTCCCCTCCCTTAAGCTTTCTCTCCTTTTAACCACAGGGCTCAGCTGTTGGGTGCTTTCAGAGCCCCACACCACTGCAAAGCCTTCCTCCTCACTCCTCAGCCCAAAACCATTTGCATGGGTCCCATTGCCTTTGTCATGGAGCAAAAAGACTTTTGTAGCAGATCTCTGTACCAATTTGAAAGAAACTTGTTCTTTGGGCAAGAGGAATGCCTGATGAATGAGGTTATGCAGCTTGAATATGAGCATTTGGAAGGAGCATTCCACAGAGAGGATGGGGATGCATTTTAATTAGGGTTTGCCAGCCAGAGGCTACAAGGTTAGGTCCCCTTGTTATCTCCGTTCAGCAGGCCATTTCCCACCGATGGACAGTGGCCATTTGCACAGTAAATTCCCAATTTATCTCAATAACGTGGCAAAAATTCAMTAGACAATGTTATTTCTAAATTATCTGAAAACCCAGACTTTAAGAGGTTGCCATTAAGTKCCCCAATTAAATGTTTGTTAATTTAACCATCTTTCCAGACATTGCTACATGCATTCACATTCAAGGGTTATTTTTCAGCTACCAAACCTGGACACTCACACACAACATTTGTATATTTATTATGAGTGCATATWTAATTTATTATGCGTGAAATATGGGATCTTATATATTTTATTATGTGTCAACTACAGAGCCCTTTCCTTCCTGACCAGACTGCCACACTGGAGGGGAGCTTAGCCTATGTCATAGGATTTGGTCTATTTAACTCAATCACTTTGCATTTATAATTCAGGTGTTCAGAAAAGCTGTTCTTACTAAATGCTCTCATTTTCTGCCATGGTCAAYGGCAGGACCCTGATTTTCCTCTGTGGGGTACATGCACTCGAGGTTTTGTTGGGCACCTAGAATTTAATCAGAAGTTGGTGTCCAAGGATTGGATTTCATTTCTTTATGTTTCTGAAGGGTTCGGAAAATCCTTTCCAGCACACCCTCACTCAGTGTATCACATGGGTGCAGGTTGTCTTTTGGGAAAATGCTGCCAGCTTTAGGACTGTAAATCACAATTAGAAGAGGACAGGACTAATCAGATTTTATGCCTCGTGGTGCAAAGAAACAAGAAAGATTTTCGTGGCCTCTTACCTCACCCTATGAAACACGGCATTGATTGGCGTGCCATGGACTGAGRTCTGCCSGACCCAGAGCTACGAGCAAACTATKCCTGTTCTACCCCACMGAGCCCTGATATTCAATTATKCCCTTCTCACTGGAGCTATGGAGCTCTCTGGGAGGGAAAATATGGAGAGGGGRATATTTCGACAGCTAATGCCTTGAAATAACTTTGTTTTGTACAACCATCTACTTAGCTACACTAAAAATTTTGAAAAAAGAGCCAACCTGCAAGACACCTCACACTTATTTATCAGCTCTGGTTTCAAAATCAGGGATCACTGACAGAAAGAAAAGGGGAGGGAGGAAGAAGGTATAAGAGTTTTAGCTGCTTCTCCAAGGCTGCCTTCTCACCCCSCTAGAGCAGACAAAAGAGTGACTGGGGAAAGTCTGCTGGAAATGATTTCCTCCTGCAGGTGGAATTGGGGTAAGGCACCCAGCCCTGCCACRAGAGAAATTTCAGAGCACGCTGTCCCATCTGCCAGCTTGGCTGAGAGAAAACCTCAACTCASAGGGCTGCTCTGCTCACAGGGCTGCTCCTTACCCCCCTCCCACCACAAACTGAATGAGAATTTTAAAGAAGCTGTGAAATGTGATAGGCCTCCCTGTTGATCCTGACTGTCCAGGGCTTGCTGCTTGAGTGACTGAATATTTGAAATATTTAAAAAAGCTCAGCTCTGCCCCATTTCACATGATTCTTGTCATCTCAGGCTTTACTAGACTGTTGAGAAACATTCAGTCAGCAGTTCTTGCACAGCCTAACACGAAATCAACACCTGCAAGCAAGCTGCAAATGAAGCAGAACATTTTTAAGTACGGAAGCCTCAGGTAAGGTTATAYCTACACAGGAAACCTCCCTCATGAAACCACCATGGTTTACCAGAGGTTTTAAAGTGAAGCCAAAGGGAGAGGCAAAACACACAGATGTTATTTAGTAGTTGAAAAACACAGTTTTGACACAGAAGAAGACTCAAGAGATTTTTCAAAGCCACCCAAGCAACTGCAGTGCTGCGAGTGGTGGCTGCACAGCTGGGGTTGTAGTGGTTGCACCACAGCTTCCCAGCACACTGTAAACAAAGTTTTTCCTTCAATTTTTGTGAAGAAACAAAAGTGAAAAGCTGCCAAGTACTCCTGCAAGGAGTAGTTGGGATCCTCTGAGATGAAAGCTTCTTTTTAAAGAAAAGATAAGGCTTGAATAAAAAGCTATGGAAATTGAAGTGTGATAAAAATAAGCTCTAGTTGGGTTAAAATGTTTCTAGCTGAGACTGCAAAGTAGYCTTTTCCTTTTCTACACTGTGCTAATACAGCCCAGTCTGAAGGAAGAAACATCCTGGAAAACAGCCTTCTAATGAAGACATCACACAAAAATCTGCCTTGGTGGTTAAAATACATTTCATCTACAAGCTAAGAAGTCAAATTGCTTATTG